AATATGTGCTGTACTTGAAACGCCAGAAAAGCTTCGCACAGCTTCTTGAAAGCGTCTCTAATCCTAGTTCTGCTTCCAGTACACTATGTTCGTAGACTTTGCTTAAGAGGAGATGATTCATGGTGATACTGTTTGTGTGCACGTCAGAGCAGACGTATTTGCGAGAATGCCGACGTCCTCGCATACGTCTATAGGACGTGGGTAACAGTTGCAAAAAAAAAGAAAAAGAACTAAAGACGTCGAAGCAACTACTGATGTCCATGCAATCAACCACCTGCTTTGTGCAACCCCAAGTCTTTTTTTTTTTTCTTCCGCTAATGCAACCTTGAATAACTAGGAAGGCTTGCAACCGAGCACCATTTCAGTAAGACCGTGCACTGCATCTTCGTTTTCGACAGTAGTGGCATAACGTTCCTTTGTACAAGCATTTTATGCAACGCCCCACGATTTTCTGCGCGTGTACCGGGCTTTAGCGGCGTCTTTCCGTTCGCCGTTTGCAAGCAGCCGCCTCCAGACGCGTAAGTCACGCGTCACTCCCGGGCAAGGCCCGGGAATTGGGAAAGGGCGAGACGCTCACCCTCTCCACAGCAACCGACGCCGCCCGAAGGCCGCGCGCTCTCCACGCTACGCAGGCGCGGCCTTCGAGTCGCCGAAAAGGCAGAAAGCTGGACCGCAGATTCTCAACTACACAGAAGTACAATACAAGAATATACCTTAACAATCCATAATTTCGCGAAGCAGTAATGTCGCGTATATTTACGGCTCCGGTGTTTTTTGTTTTTTATCTGGCCTTGCTCTCGGTGCTCATAATTTCTGCTGAAATACGTCAGCGTTGTAACGCTAAAACTTCAAAGTGCGAGCATAACCACCGTGCTACCTTGCAGACTAAGTTCTTGCGTTGCAAAGCTGGATAATGCAAGCTAGATTGCATTATCCAGCAATCACCAACCGGGCAGTGGCGGCCGCATTTTACAGGGACAAAGAAACTAAAAAAGAAAGAGAGAACACCCGTGCTACGTGTGCTTATACATATAGATGCAGGTTAAAGAATGCCACGTGTTCAAAGCTAAACCGGAGTCTTCCCCTACGGATAAACTCGCATTGTTTTTTCTCCGAGATAAAACCACGGGGTACGGCAAGATTTCACAAAGAAGGCCCAGAAATGATTAATAATAATCGTCGGGGTGCAACGCCCCAAAACCACCACACGAGACGCTGTAGTGAAGGGCTCCGTAAATTTCAACCTTCTAGGATTCTTCAACGAGCATCTAAATCTGAGCACACGGGCCTACAACATTTGCGCTTACATCGGAAATGGAGCCGCCGCAGCCGGAATTGGATCCCGCGACCTGCAGGCCAGCAGCCGATTGCCTTAGCCACTAGACCACTGCGGCAGGTGGGGCAAAAGTGAAGCGATGTAGAAAATATGCACGCACTGCATGTGAACCACCTCAGTGCGCTTGGTAAAGTTATGAAAGTGACTGTCTCATTGCCCGTGTCACTATAGTGGCGTGTATATGGAAGTGTAGACACTTTTTCCTTCCTGGCTGTCCATACTGGACAAATGACTACTGTGCTGCGATCTTCTAGAGTGTGTACCAGCCCAATGACCTTGAACTTTACACGATAACTGCGTAGCACCTGTTCCTCATTAGTGCATCTGTGGCAATACCATGCGTTGGATAGAAATTTAATTTTGGAGCAAGGGGTATACAAGTGCCACAAAAGAAGTTTTTTTTTTCACCATTGCATAATTACAAGCAAGCAAGACAATTACGACATGTGCGCAGCGCTACTTTGAGGAATGATGAACGCTCATGTCGTACGCAAAATTCGACAAAACTGTGCCGCGAACAAGAAACAGATGCTGTCATTAGGCGTTCCTCGGTGAAATAGATCTCCTGGGGCTCCTAAATATGAAATTATCATTCTTGTTATTCGTGGAGGAGCGCATTGATACGAGTGTGCGGTGACAATCACGAACGTATTATTGGGAATATTATTGGAACACCGAAATATATATGATTTCCGACCTATATAAATCATTTTAGCAGTCGAGCGGCCAATTTACATTGCCATTAGATCTGTTGATTAGAAATATTGTTCCAGTTCATGAATAATTAAGTAATAGTTATTCTCCTTGGCACTATATTTAAACGAGGGTTCGAGCTGAAATGCTGGAGTATTTAGACTGGTCCACAATATTTTACAAGACATGAAATTTATTATGAAAAAGAGGCTGCAGTTTCCCGTAAGCTGCACTGAAAGTGTACACTACGGATAAAAATTTACTAAGACAGTTTTCATAACGTGCACGGTTATTTACTAAATTAGGCTAAATAAAACACGGCATGCTTTAAGAACAGCGGAAATCCACATATTAAGTGAACCATATATGTTCCACAAAATTTGTCGCCGAGTTGCTTGAAGTATGCATTGGGCATCTCCATGGTGAATATTTGATTTGTTTGGGTGCAGAGGATTGCTTCTGCAAACAGATTTCTCGTAAAGCCCATCATCGAAAACTCTCAGGCAGTTCCTTTTTTTTCTTAGCATACTATTTAAGAAGTACTTCGCATAGCAGTAAATGACCAACGCAATCAACGTGAGACGATGGCGGTTGCGATGACGCCCGTCATCGCGTTTTGGCAACTGTCCCGTCTTACACGTTCATACTCTACTTAGCTATGGCACATGTAGCGCAAAACAGCACTACTGATGTTAACTTTCAGGATAATATACCTAAACGCGTAGTCGAAATATGCGTTGTTATTTTTTCGTGCGGCATATGGTGCTGCACTGTCACAGCATTTGGCACCTGACTGCCCGTGACCAGATTAGATAGATTTGTGGGGTTTAACGTCCCAAAACCCCTATATGATTATGAGAGACGCCGTAGTGGAGGGCTCCGGAAATTTCGACCACCTGGGGTTCTTTAACGTGCACCCAAATCTGAGCACACGGGCCTACAACATTTCCGCCTCCATCGGAAATGCAGCCGCCGAAGCCGGGATTTGAAACCGCGACCTGCGGGTCAGCAGCCGAGTACCTTAGCCACTAGACCACCGCGGTGGGGCTGCCCGTGACCAGCAGCGATCACTGATCATGCGTCTGTGTTGGCTGTCCCCATACTTTCTCCTCGTCAGCCCCAAATCCCACTTACCATTTTCACACGACAGAATTGAACTAGACAGCTCGTGTCATCGCGCTCCCGGCGTCGGCGTCGTTGGTTGTGAGCGAAAAATCAGCGTCGTATACGTGACAAACATAGAGACGGATGCACACAGGACAAAATATTAACAATTTAGGTTAGAGTGGGTATTGAACCGAGGCCTTCTGCATGGAAAATAGGTATTTTACCACAGAGCCACGTCATCGCTTGAGACTTGTACAGAAAAAAAAAAGACACTACAAGAGTGTCATAATGTGCGAGAAGTTTCTATAACGCATGTAATAGTGCGTGGTAGGAGCATATAATGGCGCCAGGTAAGAAACATGTGAAGTGCGTAGCGAGATGGGTGGCATGAATGCCCTCCCATTACAAATCGCTCACTCATAATTGATCATTATAACAGCACAGGCGTCAGCTGCACAGATTCACCTACAGAAGCATATATAGTAGGACCGTCGCTGTTTCGCAGCATGATTTCCAATACAGCAGACACTCCGCGAGTGTATTTGCAGTAAGCGATTCGGGAGTGCGGCAAGACCAATGTTGCACGCACGGACGATAGTTTCTCCGAGATATACACCGAGAACCACAACTGAGTTAGCAATGGAGAAGACTCTTCGCGCGGGGCCCGTTTGCGTTATACCGCGTTCTAGTCGTGAAGCGTCATCCAAGTTTTTCGCAGTAGAGAAACAAATGTCCGGTTGTCAGTATTCTCTTTCTCCCTCTCTCATTTAATTTGCAGATTTTAGTGACGATAGAGGTCTGCCAAATGCAAGTTTGCGAATCAGAATGTCTACGACAGCGCGATCTGTGCACGCACTCAGCGCTTTCTATAGGCGCGCGTGAAGACTATAACACAATTTCGCGTGCGATGTAGCGTTCTTCAACAAGCAGATGCGTGATCGAAGAAAACACTTTAAGAAGCAATTTCGGTCATTCAGACAATTCAACGAAAAACGAAATAAATGATCAAGACAGATGGTTCGACATCATTAAGAACATATTTTCTTTTTTTTTTGTCGTCCATTGTAGGAGAAGGTGCTTGTTACTGAAATCACCAGTCTCAAATGTTCGTCTGATGCCATGCTTCTTATACATATTAGAGAGATTTGCATAGCCAGTGGTAAAGATTTAGTTCACATATATAACCAAACAGAGCCTAATAATTTAGTCTGCCCATTTGTATGCTCTAAAATGAAGTGTATTCGTAGAAGGTCCATGATGAATCCGCAAAAGAAAACATGATCGGACAAAGTGAAGTAATTGATATATGTAGGGCGAAAATCCTGCGCAATAAGATGAAACTAAAGCTACGTTCACGGGATGATACATTGTTCCGTAATACAGATGCTGAGTAAGTGTCTGCAGCGGTGTGGAAAAGGGCACTTTCAAGCACGTTCGAATGCATAAACGCACACACGCACGCTAACGCAAACACGTGCGCGTCCAGATGCGTTGTATTTATCGTTTCCCTCTTCGTCGTTGTCCATATTGAGACAAAACAAAACAAAAAAAAAATCCCGGTGGCTAGCGTATAGCCAGCCATTTTCTCGCTTCAAGGTTTCGCTGCAGCCACTTCCCATTTCTCCCTGCAAGTACAGCGGCTAGAATACCGCAAGCAGTCCGAGTCGTGCTGCGCAACGAAAACTCTCCGCGCAGTAGATGGCGCCACTTTCCCGGCCGCTTCTTGCCATCTCCCGAGCGCGCGTTCCCTCCACTACGTTCCCTCCACTGCCCACCTCTTCCGCGCACTGGCGCGGAGCTGAGCGACGCAGCCTTCCCACAGTCGGCGGCGAAGCGCCATCGGCTAATAGAGTTGGCGCGTGACGCCAGCTGCTAGCGCTAACGAGACCCTCGTGTCAGTGGCCGCCTGCGTCAAGCCGGTCCGGCGCGCCGGACTAACACGCGCGCCTTCGAACGCATCGAAAGCCCGCGATGGATCTCTAAGAGGACGACGTGCCGCGCGCGCCGCGGACAGTGCACCCAAGAGCGACGGGCTCCGCACGTAGCTCGGAGTTCGAGCCGAGGCTCGGAGCCAGCGGCCGTTCGCGACTACGGTACGGCGGCGGAGTCCGCGCAGCGCTGTTCGGTGTACCTGTGGCGCGGGCGGCGGTGAGGGGCGGCTGATTGCGGTGCGCGGTTCTCGAGTCGCGAAGGAGACGTCGTGTCTGCCAGGGAGGCGGACGCCGCAGAAGCGAGAGTGCGCCATGACCGCGCCGCGCTCCCGGAGAGCACGGCCGCGGAGGCGAGCGGCCCAGAGACGGGGACCCGGCGGGCACCGGGTCCTCCGGTCCCGTCACTGACGCTGGCAGGAGCGGCGGGAGAGGCGGCTGACGGCGATGCGACCTCGCTCAAGACCTACATGGAAGACGTCGGCAGGCGGTGAGTCGTCTCGAGTGGATACCGGTGCTTCGCTTCTGCACGCGCGATGCTTGCCGACCGCCTGTTGCACTTAACAAACCTAAACCAAACGAAAACCTTAACATTCTAAGTTGCACGCTTCGATAAAGTAAAAATTACACAATAAATTATGTACACATGACTGAATATAACGCATGGAATGTTGCCGGTACTTTGCGCAATGTTCGTTTCCTGTATTAACGTAAACTATATATTGCATTGGTTACATATTGCGTCCCATGTCAATGGCTAGCACTTCTACTTTTGAAGTGGCCAGGGATGGGAATGTAAGGGTCGACGTATACATGCATGTATTCCGAGGTTCACGTGTCATTGCGGCTATAACGCGTTGCCTACTTGGATACGGTAGCATGCAATGAATCCAACATCTGCGCTGAGCATAACTGACACAGAAATGTGGAAGAACACCGTTTACAATGAATGAAGAGTATTTGTAAAGGTACTTGAAACTAGCTCCAGCACTGGCGATCTATAATTGGGATTTACTTAGATGGACTCAAAGTTAGACCGGCCCAGATGCGTTCATCACTGAAAGTTTAGGTTGAAACTGTTCAGCATTGTTATCTTAGAAAAGATGAAAGTGACGAGGACTTGAGTGTTGGTGAGGAGGTTACCTCGGTAACTATGTCATAGTACACCGGCAGCTATGCAAAATACACCACACCTTTATTTGCCGACCCAATGGCGAATTTTAGTAATTTGAGACACCAGCTACTCGTTGCATTCAGGTCGACAACGTCGTAGTTTTTTAATTGATTGATTTGTGGGGTTTAACGTCCCAAAACCACGATATGATTATGAGAGACGCCATAGTGGAGGGCTCCGGAAATTTTGACCACCTGGGGTTCTTTAACGTGCACCCAAATCTGAGCACACGGGCCTACAACATTTCCGCCTCCATCGGAAATGCAGCCGCCGCAGCCGGGATTCGAACCCGCACCCTGCGGGTCAGCAGCCGAGTACCTTAGCCACTAGACCACCACGGTGGGGCACGTAGTTTTTTAAGGGGCGAAGCTCCTAAGCCGGGTTTGCTCCTCCAAGCTCGTGATACGTTACCGCCTAGTTCGATGACTCACTCCGCAGATGCGGACAGACAGACAGACAGACGTCCGTACGGACGGACGGACGGAGGATTCAGGGTTTATCGATGAAACCCTCCTAAGCTTCGCCCCAATCATCATCATTCACTGCGTGGATATGCTGTGACTTTTTTTTTTTTTTAGAAGCTGGAGTTGTTTCGTCACTGCGAATTGCCGGCACATTTCCAGCTGCTGAGGATGTAACAACTCGCTCAATGAAGCAAGCATATTTTCTTAATGTTAAGGACATTCTCGTTCACGTTCTTGCTTTTACGGCGTGCAGTTTTAAAGTAACGCATGCCACGCGCCTGCGAAGAGAGCCCGCTCGTGGACTGCAGGCGTTTACGAACGTTTAGGAGCGTCGCGCATGCCACCTGTTGATTGTGGGAGAAAGACGAACGCCGCTGTGGCTATCCGGAAGGACTGCTTCTTGAAATCGCTCTCGCTGGACCTACTTAAAGTGTGTACGTTCCTTGATCAATTTAACGTGATATGTAACAGGTACCTTTAGCATTCGAAATTAAAATAATTTCTCGCAAGAACCAATGTCGTAACAGAAAAAAATAATATAATGCTTTTGTTTCGCTCCGCTGTAGTTCGCCATATGCGAGATATTTTTTTTATTATTTTCTGTGGATTAGCATCCTATGCATGTGCATATAGCGTTCTCAGCAGTTCTATCATCGCGTGATGATGCAACGGCGCTCGCCTTGAGACGTTGGATACAAATGAACGCTGCGTCGTAACTAAATACTGCGGGGTGTACGGTCACACTGATTCTCGACACTGTACTATCACGACACCGGAAGCAGTAATAATGGTTTATCATACCGCTGTATGGGCTTCCGCGGTTATTTATGTCCCTGAGGCTGCGTTGTTATCACCTTTCAGCCGTTCTTGCCAATGCACAAGGTTCCTTGACATGATGGCGTTAATGCACTTGCATCAAATATAGGGATATAGGTATTTTATGCATCCAATTTCGCCACGTATCCAAAAACACTCTCACTCGGAACTCTTATCAGGGCAGACTTAAGGTTGCTAAGGTGACACCGTTATTTAAAAGTTGGGGATCTAATAATAGAAACAGTTGCAGACCTGATATGTCCTGAATATTAAGGGCACACATTTTGAAAAACTTGTTCGATTACAAATAAGGTAATTCCTTCTCAATAACTACATACTTGGTCCCGAGCAATACGGTTTTGTCTCCCTGTGCAAGTCCACAATGCAGAGTCATCCCGATCTTATCGCAAATTAATAACGCTGCACCTAATAAGTCGAAAGTAATATCTGTGAGTAATGGACGTCCACAAGTATGATACCATCAATGCGTTGGGTCATCATGACCAGCGGGCCAGAAGTAAACAGCTGTTACCGAGGAGTGGTCTGATGAAATTCAAGCCTTCTAATTTTGTTAACCGTCCTACGGAGTAAGACAAAGCTCTACTTAATCAGGTTGGCTACCCCTCAAGACTTCAACAGGCTGGAGAGGTGACCTACCTGTTACCTAACACCATTGGGGATCAAGCAATCGCCTTTTTTGTCTCCGATTGTCCAGGAAGACGCAGAATCCAGGATTCTTCGTCCAGGAAGACGAAGAATCGCCCAGGAAGACGCAAGTCAGGGCCCCGACACTACAGAAACTTCGCTTTCCTTAATGAGGGACCCTGCGTATGCCTGCGGTAAACAGCCATCCGTCTTCTAAACTGTCTTCTGTAGAATGTATTGCAAACGCTACACCATTGTAGCAACAGATTCCGAGGTGCAACCTTAGCCGCATCGATGACACCCCCATCAGTCAGTATGGCCGTAATGGCGACTGTTGGTATAGCGCTAAGATGCGCATAACAAAAAGGAGACTCGATCCTCGTTATCAGTGTCTCGCAATTAGGTTGCCGTACACGTTTCAGGCTGATGTGAGACCAACGAAGGTGTTGACACTCCTCAGGAAAGTACTTCAGAATCCGGATTCACTAGTTTGGTGCCCCGCTGATGCGAGACGAGAGAGCAACGGAAGGCCCGACGGTATTTCTCGCACCAGCAGCTGTCGCAACCCTACAGAATTCCACGCCACACTCGAAAGAAAGGCAAAAAAAAAATTGCCCGCAGCTTCCCTCGGGGGAACACTGAGGAGGATGCGGACCATATAATTGGTTAACGGGGTGTTAAAGTGCGACTTACTTGGGTCGATGGCTAAATTGGTTAACGTGGTTGTGAAATGGGGTGTTAAATTGCGACTTACTTGGGTCGATGGCTAAATTGGTTAACGTGGTTGTAGGAGGGGGTGTTAAATGAGTGAACACGTACACACGTATGCGAAAGGGCGGCGCTGGTCGAAGGGACGTCGATCACTGTGTTTGTGGATTCGTTGGAATTCATTTCACCGCGACCTTGGACGTCGACGCGCCGTACAAACCAACCGACGAGCGGCAACTGAGCGAGCGAGCGCCGACCTTGAGTATATATACAGCACGACGGCGCATGCACTGTCAGCTGTTGAATGTTCTCGAAGCGCGACGCCACATGCGCGTCCACTGGAGAATCAGGAGAATTGTAGATGTCGAACGCGGTGTGTAGAGGAGGAAGGGTGCACTGATGGTGGAGGAGTGAAGCGCGCGCGGTGTGTAGAGGAGGAAGGGATGCACAGATGGTGGAAGAGTGGGCGACGGCGCGACGGCGCATGCGCGCGCGTCAGCTGTCGAATGTTCGAGAAGCGGTGCGGACGGCGCGGACGGCGCACTACAAGGCGCGAGTATAAGATCCTCCGCATCTAAAAGGATAGCCACAAAGGTACATTATTCCACATCCGGATCTTTGAGCAGAACAGTTGGAACATTGCGTGGAATACAAACGAACATATACCCTAAACTACAAAGAAGACGTCACATAAACCCCGGAATGTACGCGTCCACCTGCTCGTGTTACGAGGAACAGCCAACGCTCGCGCTCATCACGTTGAAATGCAAACTGTGGTTTCAGACTATAAATTATCCGCTTTTGTGGCTCACATCTTGCACGAAGTGGTTGGAGACCTGGCTTTAGCAGGAATCGCGTGAGCCAGCTGACTCATTTCGACCAAGCCCAGTGAAGCACAAAGGCCAGTCATCAGTGCACTCATGTGCTGAGGGCCCCGTGCAGCCACTTTTCCAGGAACATTATGGTCAAATAAGGCTTTTATTATAGCTAACTGTCCCGGATAACAATAACCATACCGAAGTGATGAAATAAAAGAGATGCCGACCTTGGTAAGATAAACTAATATATTACAAAAGGAGGCCGTATCTGCTCACAAGGAGTTCTGATCTGAAAGTAATAATAAGTTTTTTTGCGTTTAACGCCCCAAAATCACGATATGATAACGAGAGACACCGCAAATTTCGACCACCCATGCACCTAAATCTAAGCACACCGGCCTCAAGCATTTTCGCCTCCATCGAAAACTAGGCCGTCACGGCCGCAATTCGATTTTGCGACCTGCTGGCCAACAGTCGTGCACCATAACCACTAGAGCGCCGTGGCGGGTCAATTTGAAAGTAATATCTGCGAGTAATGGATGTCCACAAGTAGGAAGCCGCTATTTTGCTGGGTACGTTAATCCGGGAATGACTTTAATATAGCGAAGATGACCAGCCCTCCGAGAGTAATCTACTCTAAACTAAGAAAGGTCCGATAAAACTCAAGCGCTCTACTTTAGCTAACTCAGGCCCTGAAATACGTGTACCACCTACCATAACCATACAAAGCTAACCTTGATAGGCTTGTTTATTTGTTTTTCCTTCGAAAACAATGGCACGTACCCACTCCGAGGAATTGGTCAAGAATCAGTCAAGAATCAGGAGAAGGTCAAGAATTATTCTTCTTCTTCTTCTTCTTCTTCTT